CTTGCTGCCTTTGGCCCTTAACTGGAGGCCATTGTGAGCACTTAGGAAATGAATCAGGATGGGATCTCTCTGTCTCTTTCTCTCAAACAAAAATTATTAATAGTGATAATTGTCTGTTTTTAGATTGCAGGCTTACATACTTATTTTTGAATAATACTGCATTGGCATTTTACTATGTTTTCCATGGTTTTATTCAGTAGGGAGGCTGGCCAGTTGGTGCATATTGCTAACACAATCCAGCTACAGTGAAAGAAGAAAGCAAGAGGAAGGGACTTGGGAAGGATGACGTGTTGATTCTGGAGTTGTCAGTCACCAAGCAGCCAGTGAAGGCTCAGATGTGGATGCAGATGGGCTGTCTATCCATTCGGAGACAAATGTTGTGCTTTTCTTACACGATAAAAGCCCCGCATTAGCCCTCACTGTAAGGCCAGGTCAGCATCAAAAGCAACCAAACAGATCCCATTTTAGAGGGCTTGCTGAAAGCTAAGCACGATTCTGCAGTGGCTTATAAGCCTCTCAAAACCTCATAGCTCTTGCCCCATTTTTCACATGTGGTGCAGAGGAGTTAAGGAGCTCGCAGAAGGTCTTAGTAGTTAGTGAAGCCAGGGTTTAGCGCAGAAGCCATTGCTTTTAACCCGTCCACATCCTGCTTTCTCTCTTCCTCAGGCACAGAGCTCTACTGCCCCTCCTTAGTTTCCTGGTAGGCCTTGGAAGGTGGGGGAGGAGCCCAATGAGAGGTGCTCCTGTAACCTTAGGAGGCTGCCCGGGTTTCGGCCTGGATGCACAGCCCTTCAATTCTGGATCACATAAAGCAGCGTGGGAGACCCCAACTGCTGCCTTGGGGGCAGGTGGGATGGCCTTGCCCTGCCAGCAATGTTGGTGAGTGCAGAACCACTCCTGCTCCTAAGACCAAGGGCCATGGGGCAAATGAACTTGTTTGGTTGAATTGAGAGTGCTTTGGACTGACTTTGTCGGTGACAAATCTCTATCTGGGATGTGGTACGGTGCAGAAGAAGCTGCCTGGGCTTGGAACAAAACTGCCCATTTGCTAGTGGTATGTGGGTTTCCCCCTCTTCCCCTGTAGTTTTCCACTGCTGTGTAACAGATTCTGACAAACTGAAAACAAGCGACCAGACTGTGTCTCAGCTTCTGCGGGCCAGAGCTTCAGGATCCCTCAGGAGGGTCAGATTCTCTGCTCAGGGTCTCATGGGGATGAAATCAGGTGTTGGCCAGCGCAACAGTTTTCATCTGGGGTTCCAGGGGCTTCTGAGCTCACTGGTGATTGGCAGAATTCCAGATGCTTGTGGCTTTAGGACTGTGGTCCCCATTGTCCTGCTGGCTGTCAGGGGATTGCTGCCAGCGTCTAGAGATGGCCCCACTTCCTTGGCACGAGGCGCATCCATAGGAAGTCCCCAGCATGGTAGAGGATCTCTCTGACAATCCGGGACCAGCTACAAAAATCTCTGATTAGGTCAGACCCACAGGGACAATAACCTGAGCTTAAATCAACTGGGACTTAATCACAACTGCAAGACCCCTTCGAGGTCATTGGCATGCTTCATCCAGGAACTAGGGTCGGGTGGGGAATACCATTGTTTCTCATGCCGGCCTTCATGATTCTTCTGTAAACCTGAACAGCACTTTCCCTGAAGCAGATGTTGGACCAGAGACTTATTAAAGTTTATGGAAACCAAAAGAGAAGCTGAGTAAATGGTTAGAAAATCCAGTTAAGTTTACTACAGGTGCACCTTCTGCACAAGGTCTAGCCTCCACACCCAGATTTCCTGTCTGGCTCCCTGATGACATTGCTGGGACTGGCCAGCCCCTCTTCACCATGGTGTGGACTTACCCTGTGACCACTGTGACCACGAGAGGTCAGGCTTATTAGAGGGTCCAGCAGGCCCCAAATGTCAGAGTTATATACATTCAGAGGCAAGAGATGGAGGGCTTCCTACAGATACAGTCTGGAGGCTTATTCTGCGGAGGAAGGAACAGGCAAAACTAGGGCATCTTATGTCTTCCTCCCATCCTGCCCATCCGGGTGTTTAGGCAGGGACTAAGGAAATCAGTTTCAAGTTTGGCTTCTGCCTTGGGCTCATCTTGATGAAAACATGGCAGAAGTCCTCTGAGTAAAGAAAAAGGTTCAAGCTTCCTGCTGTAGCCGCCATGATGTGATGGAGGAGCAGAATGTCCTACTCCCTAATACACCCTCCAAGACCTTTAGACTCCTCCAAGTATATAAATTCTCACTGATTTGACAAGATTGATTTTCTACCCTTTGCTTTGCAAAATCCATTGTGAGACCAAAGCAAGTAAAATTGATTTCCCCTCACTTCCCTCCCCACCCAAGGCCTCCTGGCTCACTCCTGGTGATATGAGATTTTCTAACTTTCTATGCCCTTTTGAAAAGCTTGTGGTTGTGGAGATTTTTTTTCTTTTACACTGAGATCAGATAGCTTTACAGGCCTGTGTGGGAATTTTAATGTGGTATTCTAGCTCTTAAAGCTTCATTGGTTCAAAAACACCCCTCCGTTGTATCATGGTTGGAAGCTTGAGCATTTACATTGTAAATGTTGGGTTATGGCCATGAAAACTGGGGTGGGATCACCTTGCTTTCATTCACTCCACATGTGCATTTTATTTAAATAAGAATGTGCTTCAGGAAGCCACTGGCACACATTCCTCTGAGTTGTACAGAATCAAATGTAGTGGGTCTGTAGTTTACTTTTCAAAATAGGGTGTAAAGAATGTCCCAATTATTTGATTCTCCTAAGTGAATTTGATTGGTCCTGACCACCATCAGCCTGGCTGCAAATTCAACCTAAGTCACAGTATGGAGTCCATCGAAGGGCTAAGTAGAGATATCTAGGGCCTTAAGCTGCCCGCAAAAGTGAAGAGGGCCCTCTGGGTCTTAGGTCCAGGAGGACACTGATGACGTTTAGCATGTAGGCCCATGTGGCTCCTTGGTGGAAGGAGGTTCTGAGGCCACATGGAACGCAATGCTCAGGCTGAGACTGAGGGCCCAGTGCTAGAGCCAGCTTTCCCAAGAGACCCTGCAGCCATTCCCTGTTAATGCATGAGCACCTGCTTCTGGGACCTACCTCAAAAGCCCAGTTTCCTTTCAGTCCTGGTGAATTAATGCCTCCCCACGTAGCTAAATTCCACCTGAGATCTCCCAAGTGTTCACTCCCTTTCAGCTCTGGGAAAATCTAGCAAGGTCCCCTCAGCAGCTGTCAGAAACGCATTCCAAGGGGCCAGCATTGTGGTGCAGTGGGTTAAGCTGCCCCTTGGGATGCCTGCATCCCATATTAGAGTGCCAGTTTGAGTGCAGGCTGCTGCACTTCTGATCAAGCTCCCTGCTAATGCACCTGGGAAAGTAGATGAAGGCCCAAGTAATTGGGCTCCTGCTACCCACATGGGAGACCTGGACGGAGTTCCTGGTTCCTGGCTTCATCCACAACAGCAAAGCTGTGAGTGAACCAGCAGACAGAGCCGACAGAGCCAAAGGAGAGAATCAGCAGACAGAAGAGCTCTATGTATCTCTTTCCCTTTTTCTGTGTTACTTTGCCTTTCAAATAAATAAAATCCTTTTTAAAAAAAGAAAAGCAGGCCAGTGCCGCGGCTCAATAGGCTAATCCTCCACCTGTGGTGCCGGCACTCCGGGTTCTAGTCCTGGTCGGGCGCCGGATTCTGTCCCGGTTGCCCCTCTTCCAGGCCAGTTCTCTGCTGTGGCCAGGGAGTGCAGTGGAGGATGGCCCAAGTGTTGGGCCCTGCACCCCATGGGAGACCAGGATGAATACCTGGCTCCTGCCATCGGATCAGCACGGTGCGCCGGCCGCGGCGGCCATTGGAGGGTGAACCAACAGCAAAGGAAGACCTTTCTCTCTTTCTCTCTCACTGTCCACTCTGCCTGTCAAAAAATAAAAAAAATAAGTGGGTCCTCAGTGCAGAGGTGCCTGCTGTAGGGATCCTCAGCCTTGCACTCTGCAGCACAAAAGGCTCCTGAGCCCAGGGAAGCATAGGCTTGGGCAGTTTCCATTTTCTTAATTAAACAGGAAAAATGAATATGGACAGGTGACTTTGGGGATTAGAGGACAGACAGATTTATAGTAGGTGTGTGTCCATGGATGGGAAAGTGGACTTTACTAGAGAGATGAAGTGGGACGTTAGGTATGCTAAGGACCCACCTCAGAGCTATGCTCCTGGTTGGCTTTTTCTTCCTGTAATACACAGAACTCGGGTGCATCTGTGGCTTAGGGGAGAACTGGGAATGTGGGACAGTGGTGTCAAAGCTATATCTTTTGTCCATTCTGGGTGGGAGGAATAGGAAGACTTGGGAGGGCAGGGCTTGTGGACAGTGAAACAGTGGTAGGGCCAAAGTATTGGAAGTTTCAATGGTGTTGTTAAGTCAAAGAACTACTGATTTCTGGGACACTAGAGTAGGTGAAATAGAGGAAGAAGGATTTGTGATTAGCAAGAAGCTCAAAATCATGATTTTAGAGGTAGTTTGGTTATTGGAGATGACAGACCAGGAGAAAGCAGTGGATTAAGTGGTGCGGAGGAAAAGATCATCTGTAGAAAAGACTTCAAGGGACTTCAAAACTAGCGTGCAAGGTCAACTGCCTTGTCCATGAGTGGAAAAGTCGCCAAGAACAATGACCAGCATACAAGATTAAGAAGATGAAGAGCCAGGCTTAAAAACCAGACATTCTTGAGGACTGAACTGAGTGGTAGTGGGTGGTACCCTCTGATGGTACACTTAAAAGAGGCTAGGTATTTGAAGGAGAAGGAATAGAAATGATCTAAAACATAGGTTGGCAAATAATGGTTAGGAGACCAGCTTGTCTTCTGTTATTGTAAATAAAACTTTATTGCAACACAGTAATACTCACTCATTTACATGTTGTCAATGGTGGCTTTAACAGTGCAGAGTTGGGTAGTTGTCACAGAGACCATCTGGCTTGAAAAACCTACATTATTTTCTATTTGGTCTTTTACAGAAAAAAGTTTTCTGACCCCTGATCTGGAATTAGCAATGAAAGGCAAAAGCATTAACCTCACAGTGAGAGGTAAGCACAATTAATATCACAATAATTTTTCTTGCTACACAAATGTCAAATCCTCTGTTCCTTTTAGTTTGGGTCTGCTCTGGGTCACTAGATCAACTGTTCTGATTTGATATTTTTTTTCACAGTGAATCAATGCATTGAATGGTTGAAATGATAGAATGGCTGACTTTTTGGTTTTGTGTGTGGATATATTTTCCTTTGAAACACAAGTCAGCCTATATAATTGATTTATAGAGGTAAATTTCATATTGTAGAAATCCAGATCACATTCATTCAAAAAATTAACTGCAGGCTGTGATGCTATGCTATGGCTTGTTAGAGTGCTGAGTAAAGATGCTGGTGGATCTTTTGTCCAAAATCAATTTCCTGTTCTACTTTACCTCATTCCTTGTTGTTGGTCTTGAGAATGAGAAACTGTCTCACTGGGGTTTGTCCATTATCTATATCCACTGTGTAACGAGACGAGCACAGACAGTACTCCCAGAGTAGCTAGTTTATAGGCTTGCTATTGGTCACTCACATTTTTTCCCTGAAAAATTTGAATCAAGCAATCCAAACGACTCAGAGAATGGGCAACTGAGTCAAGCAAGCAGTCGGGCACCAGAGTAAGTATCCATGTGTGTGTCTTGTTAGGCTTCCTGAAACTCTCATCTTTATTTTTGCTTTTAGTGGAAGCTGGAAACTATAAAACTTCCTATTCCATCAGATCTTTGAATAGCTTGGTAGATTCACTTCCTTAGAACCAGATGATCACTTAAGAGAGTGTGAGTGCTAGGTTCTTGGACATAATGGACCCACTGGTTTGTCTTTTCCAGATTTTCAGATAAGATGTGTTCAACAGGCCAGTAGTCCTATAGTCCCTACATCATAAGGAGAAAAAAGTGTGATGGGAGCCACAGAAATACAAATCAGTCTTGACTCTTGGGAGGACCACAGATGGCAATAAACCCAACTAAAATGGAGTCAGTAGGTTCATGGTGTGTAACAGATACACTTGTCTCGTCTTAAGAGAGGATGGTCTAGGGATTCTCTCAGACAAAGTTAAGAGTAAATATTTGCGGTGAAAATGGCTTCTTTGGAAGATTTTTATTGCCCAGAGTACTGTTTTCAATCCTGAATTTTGCGAATTTGACATTAACTTTTGTGTTTGTAGAAACATATTTCAAGAATGGTTGTCTTGGTTATGTTCTGGACCTGTCCAAATGCTGATGATGGGGAATTAAAATTAAACTTTAAAAAATGTCCTGTATTGGCTACCAACAGTAGTGATGGAAACAGCCCCAGTTGTGTCCTTTGCTTCTTGTATTTCACGTCAGCAGGGTTTGGTGAAAACACACTCTGCTGCTTGGGACTTCACAGCAGAAGAGAGAGAGAATCAACAGGTGCACCAGGCCCAGCGCCAGGGAGCACAACACTCCCCCAGGGATCTGCAAAGACTTTGGTCAGTGGGTTCCACGGCTTTAAGAGCATGCTTCTTCCTTTGCCTGAGCAGTGCTGACTCCATTCCCTCTGATTAATGAGTAAGCAGTTTTCTGTCTTTAGTTCAGTAATCTGGGGATGGAAGACAGCTGTTCCACTACGGATCCCCACCAGTGCTAGTGATGCTAAATTGGTTGTGAAATGAGGCTGGCAGATCGTTTTCCTTGGGCTGTAAATTTCTGTGTCTCATATGATTTCCACTCTAGGTCAGGACTGGAGAGAGCCATTTTAGGAGGGAGAGAAACTTCGGTCTGACCATACTGTGCTGGAAGAAGTTGTCAAAGCAGATAGCTTTTGCTGTAAAGTTTCATCTTCTTAGGCTTGTCACTGTGGGCAAAGGTCTCGCTTTAAGTGCAGAGTCATGGAATAATGAGCTTCTTTGAATTAGCTTATTAGGTCTGAAAAGAATGACTCAGAAATCCTCGAGGAGCTTGTTTTCCCCTGATGTGGAATAACAGGACAATACTTGATACATGGCTGCCCACAACACAGAGGACCTACTTTATTCAATATTTCACCTAACGAATGGAGACAGTAAAATTACATCTGGATGTTGTCTATTCTGACACAGATACTAACCTTTGAGTAGTGGTGTGTTGATAAAATGTTTAACATCCAAATTTCTGGGAAAAAAAAACTTTTGGTTTGCAGTGTTTGCCAATTTCTCTGGTGTAAATATGGCCACATGACCAATTTCAAGCTACCAACATGACATCAGTGAATGCAGAATTTGGGAACAAATTTGCACGATCAGCTTTTGGGAGATAATCCCAGTTGGCTGCAGCCATGACTCTTCTAGGGCTAGGCTGTATAGAACAAGGCTGGCTCCTGTCGCCTGCATCGGAAGGTATAAGCTGCTGGGAAAGGAGTGAGGGTGTGGCACACTGGGGGACAGATCTTGCTTCTGTCCCCAGGTCTTCACTTCTTCCCAACAACTTTCAAGTAACCAGGCACCAGCTTCTTTCCAACCGATTCAAGAGCAAACCTACAGGATTGTGTATTTTGCCCTTCACCTTTTCTGCTCTCCCTTTGGAAGTCTGAACAACAACACAACAAATGGAAGACAGAAATGAGATGTCAGCAAGGTCACCAAGCCTGGAGCTAACTGCAGTGTCCTCTGAAAGGATTCTGCTACTTTGACGTTTAAAAATGTATTTTCCTCCTATAATTCCTAGAATTGGTTCACTTTGAATTCACTAAGCCTTTAGGACACAATTCAGAGCAGATGCTCCCAAACTGAAAATTCATACACAGAACCTTGAAATCTAGGGATTCCTCAGATTCTGCCTCAGATCCAAAGAGTTGGAATCCCACTGAGGGTAGAGAATGGAGAGCAAGGCCACATGCAATATTTTACAGCAATTTCCTTGGATGATTCTGATGCAGATAAAGGATTGGAAATCAGTGCGCTAGGATTTGGTCATTGTCCCACTGGGCAGCACTCAAAGGTAAGCTGCATCTTCTAGAGCAGCAGTCCGAATGCGGGCGTTTACAGACGAGCAAGTGCAGGACAGCAGGGCAAATGCCTGTGCCAGGGCCCCACCAAACGGTTATTTACTTATTTGGAATACAGAGAGAACCCCTGTTCTCTGGTTCATTCCTAAATGCCCACAACAGCAGGGATTGGACAGGCCGGAGCTGGGAGTGGGATACCCAATCCAGGTCTCCCACATGGGTGGCAGGGACCCAACCACTTGAACCGTTACATACTGCCTCCCAGGATGCAGAGTAGCAGAAAGTTGGGATCAGGAGCTGGATCTGGGAATTGAACCCAGGTACTCAGATGTGGGATGTGGGCATCTTTTTTTTTTTTTAAATGATTTATTTATTTTTTTCGAAAGGCAGAGTTATAGAGAGGCAGAGGTAGAGAGATAGAGAGAGAGATCTTCCATCCGCTGGTTCACTCCCCAAATGGTCACAATAGCAGGAGCTGTGCTGATCCGAAGCCAGGAGCCAGGAGCTTCCTGTGGGTCCCCCATGCGGGTGCAGGGGCCCAAGCGCTTGGGCCTTCCTCCATTGCTTTCCCAGGCCACAGCAGAGAGCTGGGTCAGAAGTAGAGCAGGCAGGACTCGAACCGGTGCCCATATGGGATGCCGGCACTGCAGGGGCAGCTTTGCCGCCTACAGCACAGTGCCGGCCCCAGGATGTGGGCATCTTAAGTGGGGTCTTCACTGCTAGGCCAAATCCCTGCCCCTCCATCGAACTTTCAGATCCCCAAGTTTCACTGCTGTTGTCCTTGATTCACAAATGCTGGCAGCCATTTTGTCCTTCCATCCCTCAAGCAAAGTCCCCCAAAACAAGCACTTCTGAAAGTATTAGGGAAACTGCCCGAGATGCCACACCTGGGTGACTCTGAGTGCCTTCAGAGGCAGAAATAGCTGTCAGAAAGAGAAGCTCGTAGCCGTTTGCAGCCCTGCGTCGACATCAGTTTTTGGTCTTTGAGTCAATGTAGATTAGGGGCATCAATTCCTATTGCAGCCAACTGTCAGTTAACATCTCCCTTAGGATAACCGACTTGAGTATAATCAGCAGGTGAACACACTCGTTATCATTGTCCGTCTTTCCGAGTTTCTGAGTATCGATTTTCAGTCTGGAAGCTGGGCCCAAACAGATGTGAACTGTAAGTGATTTTTCTACTCTTTTTCTCCAATTCATTCATTTATTCACTGAGTATCTGTAGAAAGTCTGCAATGCACAGACAGTGGTGATACATCAGTCAGAAAAAAAATTAACCTAGAAACCTTGGTTGGTCTCCCAGTGGGAGGACAATTAGAAAATACAATAAGCAAAGTAATATCAACTAAATATGTCATATGGTGAACAGAGCAAAGACCTAAAACATATGTCAGATGGTGAGACGTGCCATAGAGACAAGTAACTCAGCGATGAGGACGGGAGGCGGGATAGGGATTGTGCCCTGGTAATAACAGCGGTTAAACAACTTGGATTGCTTCGGAGACGCACAGGACCCTCCGGGGACATTGCTTCCAAATCTGAGACCGGTACAGGCAAAGGACGCCATGGAGAAAGAGCATGAAAGTAAGCACAGACCCATCACAGGCAAGGGCTGGCCTGTAGCAAGTGCTCTGGAGACGACGAAGGTCCATTGCCCTCTCTCTGTGAAGGCCGGGGTGTGACACTCTCTCGTTTTCTCATCAGGAGCCCTAGATGTGTACCAGGGGACCCCAAATGGAGAATGGGCGAAAGTGTGAGTTTGTGTTGGGTTTTTACTATTTGGCAGGGAATGAGCTATAACAGCAGAGCCCTTCCAGGGGCTCTCCTTAAAGAGATGCCACTCATCTGTCTCACTGTTATCACGAAACAATGCTGACCAGCTGGCACACCCCTCCTGATATCACACCCACTGTTACACAGCAGTGCAATTAGAAATCCCTAGATCTCATGCCTTGGCTGGTTCTAGGCCTACTGCAGTGAACTCTCACAGCACACATTGCAATTCTAAGTAACAATTCTAAATTGCCATTCAAAAACACAGGTCAAAATCTCAAAGTAGTTACACAGCTAGCTATGCAGAAACTTGAAAGTGGGGCGGTAGTAGGGGGAGGCAGAGAGAACAGCAAGTGCAAAGGCCCTGAGGCAGGCCACTATTCAGAAAAGAATAGGGTGGTGGGGTGGGTGGGGTGTCTCTGAGGTCAAGGCTGAATGAATGATGAGGAAACTTAGTGATGATCATCATGTGATCTCAAAGAGGTAAAGGAGTGGGGCCGGCACTGTGGCGCAGTGGGTTAACGCCCTGGCCTGAAGTACCAGCATCCTATATGGGTGCTGGTTCGAGACCGGCTGCTCCACTTCCGAGCCAGCTTTCTGCCTGGGAAGGCAGTGGAGGATGGCCCAAGTCCTTGGGCCCCTGCACCCACTTGGGAGACCCGGAGGAAGCTCCTGGCTCCTGGCTTCAGATCGGCGCAGCTCCAGCTGTTGTGGCAAATTGATGAGTGAACCATCGGATGGAAGACCTCTCTCTCTCTCTCTCTCTCTCTCTCTCTGCCTCTCCTCTCTCTGTGCAACTCTGACTTTCAAATAAATAAATAAATAAATTTTAAAAAAAGAGGTAAAGGAGCAAATGCAGCATGTTTTCTCTCTCTGCCTTGTTTTGCCCTTCATGTTACAATGGAGCAGGGCAGTCCATAAGCAGAGCTTATTACTCTGGGAGTATACGCATAAGATTCAGAAGGCCTGTAAATTTAAGCTTTTTAAAATAAAATTTTTCTAACTCTAACTGAAATTGAGCATTTCTTTCCATTTGGAACGTAGGCAACCAGAATCATTTCAGCATACTTACAACTCTGCCAAGCATGGTTGTTGCAGAGATTTTTATATTAGATTATAGTTCATGCAACCATTCTGAAGTATCTTTTATGCTCATCACCTCCTGGGAATTACTGTAATTATTAAGCTACTGCTAGATTGTTTATGATCATGGTCTCCCTGCCTGCGGAGCCAACAACGAACCTGGATGTTTCTACAACTGGAGTTCAACACAGACAGCTCGGGAACATTCTGTTGTCTTTGGAAGACTGTCTTCACCTTGAAATATGAACTGTGGACGTTTTAATGCTACTTGCAACATTTGCAACCCTTAAATCAAGAACTTGAGGTTGATTGGATATTCACCACAGTGTGCCTCCAGCCATATGAAAGACCACCCACAGTACAAGGTGCTTTTTGAGACTAAAACAACAGCCTTCACACAAAAGTGTCTAAGACAAATCTCACCACTTCCATGTGTATACTCTCTGGTTACTTTATTTGTTATTATGTAGGGTGATAGTAAAGAAGCCCTTTGGTTATTGTACTATAAATTTATTAATTGCATTTGTTTCAAAGATTCATTAAGACATACTTCACATCCAAGTCATAGAACCTTACCAGTCGCAAAAGAAAAAAAAAATTAGCCTGGTAAGAAGATTTCCTGTTATACGTTCCAAAGAGATATGCAAGGTCTCCAGGATAACAGCTGGTATCTTGAGAAATTGAATTTTCCAGTGCCAGGTAAGGTTGATGAGGTATTAACTCCTGAATGGAACCTATCATATAAGATTTGACAAGCTTGAATTAATACCTAATGTTCTCAAAAAGGGTGGGAAATGATTGGAGAGCAATCAGGGAGCATTCCCAAAGAGGCCACAGACAAGCTGCAAGCAGATAAATATGAAAATGCACCCCATTAGCAGGTCACGAGTGGACCGGAATGGGCTTGTCATTGCAGAGGGGAAAATAAAAGCTTAAGGAGATGTGTGAACACAACACAGGGCTGGCACCAGTGCTGATTTCTCACTCAGGCAGCCAGGGATTGAACTATAGTACTTGGCTATTTGCAACTGCCTTTGGCTGAAGTCTTATTTAAATAAATGAAAAGGGTTTCCTCAACCATGCCTGCTTGTTGGCAAATGCACGCCCCTTAGTTCTGTCTCAGTCACTGACTTGGGCTCTGACCACTCTGCTAATGGTCCAAGTTCAGTGCCAACTGCCTACATTTAACCAAACAGCCTTTCTCCACCTTGTACAATCTGCAGAGTTCTCACTGACTTCTTGGAGTGCCAGTGGTCCCCGGTGGGGGACAATTTAACCCATTTCCTGGGGGACACTTGAAAACCTCTGGAGACATTTTTGGCTGTCACCACTGGGGCGGGCCCCTGGCATCTAGATGGAAAAGGCCAGGGACGCTGTTCCACCTCTCATAGTGCACAAGAACCAGGTGTGGACGATGGTGCGTATCACCACAGAAGTAAGCGTTGGGACCAGCATCGTGGCACAGTGGGTTAAGCCGCCACATGTGATGCCAGCATCCCATAGCAAAGAGCCAGTTTGAGTCCTGGCTGCTCCACTTCTAATCTAGCTCCCTGCTAATGCACCTGGGAAAGCAGCGGAAGATGACCCACTTTTTAGGTCCTTACTACCCATCTGGGAGACCTGGGTGGAGTTCTAGGTTCCTGGCTTTAGTCTGGCCCATCCTTGGCCATTGCAGCCATCTGGGGAGTGAACCAGCAGATGGAAGACCTCTCTCTTTCTCTGCCTCTCCTTCTCTCTGTCAGTCTGCCTTTTAAATAAATAAATCCTAAAAAGAATGAGGGTCTGCAGGAAAAGCAGAGCAGCCAGCCAGAGAAGGAGGAAAACACATAGCAGTTTGTCTCTTCAGGCACATTTTCCCAATGCAGTGCTGCACTGGACTTCAGCTTGTTCCATAGAAAGTACTCGTTCCTTTCCTGCTGTCATACTTTTTGTGGTTATGAAGAAGGCAGCCAAGATTAAGGAGGCTATCATAAGGCTCTTTCTGTCACCACCCAGAAAAGCACCCACATTTGGAGCTCTTTTGTTCAACTGATCTTATACTAAAATATCAACATGCAAGGGGATTTCGAAATATTCATGAAAACAGAATTAAAAGATAAACTTGTTTTGGTGCAAAAACATTGAAATCCAAGGAATTTTCATAAACTTTTTGAAGACCCCTTGTATTATTCAATGATAGTGACCTACATATCAATTATAATCTATAGTGCATACTGATATATAGCCTCCTCCTCCTCCTACTCTTTTTAGCTCCTATTCAGATAAGGAATTTGAATACAGTCATACCTTGTGTAGTGGGAGTGACTGGGTGACAAAAGTGTTTCCAAAGATAGCAGAGTCCTGCCCTAAGTCGGAGTAAGGGGTGCTCTGACTTGCCCTGTGGAAAGGAGATGGCAGTAAGGGCCAATGAAAATGCATGGGGTAAACGAAGGGAGCACAGTTTCACAGGGTCGTACTCAGACCCAGGCTGCACGGGACTGGGAGGTAGGACAGACAAGCCTGCAATGAGCAGCCGTCCTTAATCACCTCTGCTGGTGCTTTTCCCACCACAGAACCCATGGCTCATTTATCTAACTATCTTGTGGTTTACTGGCTGCTAATTATTCCTACTCTGATATTTGTTAATGAAAACCCAAGATATTTTCTAGCAAAGCATTTGGAGGGTCTGGGAAGAAGAGAGTCCTCAAGACAAAAGGAAAAACTTCTAATTTCATGTTCCTGTAGGTTGGAAGAACAGATGCTGGGGCTCCGTTGGGCCTCTAGAGGATTCCTTCTATCAGCCCACGCCGTCCCCTGCCTCTAGTCACTTAAGCAACATGACTTGTTAAGCACACACTTTCTGATCCATAAAGCTCCAGGCAGCCTTATCCACCCCTGTGATGTAAATGCCACCTCTGCACCCACAGCTCCCAGACATAAAAGCTGACAAAGGACCATCAGATTTGGCTGTTGCCAATACAATACCTAATCAAACAGCAGTGTAGCTTCATTGAGTTTGAATTTTGGTTGAGGTGGGGAAGCAGAGGTGGCCACTGTTTCCCAAAGAAACCAGTGATGAGGTTCAGGGAAGGAGGGGCTCTTGGCTGGTCCTGTAAGGGAGATGGAAAGTTCCTTGCAAATCTAGGCTCAGCTGGCACAGACAAAGCCCCACCTCAAGCATACACCTTCCTGCATTCTGCTTCAAGGTCTCCTCTGAACTGTTGGAAGCTCATCAGGTCCTCGTATAAGCACACAGCAGAAATATGAGGAAAGTACCCCAGGAACTACCCTCACAACGGGAGAAAGGCCCTAATGTCTACATACTTCAACCTCCCATCTTTAGGGTGGTCATTCCTCCTGCTTCTCTGGTTGAATGGAATCCACATTTAGCACCGTGATTGAGGACTTCGATTATACACCCTGAGACTGGCTTTTCCTTCTTCCTGTGTCACTCTTCCCTCTCACTGGTCCATATCTCATTGCAGTTGCCAAGTGCTTTCACTTGGATCTTGTCACCACCAGCACCGAGTGAGCTTTCGGCTTTGCAATCTTGGCACTGAGAGTTTTACTGAGTATGTTCTCATGCTGTGCCATGTACCCTCTGTGGATCCTGGGTGGCTTCCTGGCAGTTCTCAGCTCTCCTCTGAACTAGAGGGGTGAAAGCATGGAGACTGTACCTCCCAGAACTTTCATCATCAGAGTTCCAGATTCACTCTCTTAATAAGGGCACCGTTGAGAGGCTGTTATTTCCCAGTGGTGGTTGGAGGCAGGTAACAGGGGCTGCAGTTGCACCTCTGAAAATTGCCCACTTCAGCACTGTGGGCATTTGAGGCTGTTGGTGGCAATTCCTGTGACCCCTATTTTTTTTAAATTAATTTTTTCTCCCCTCCAACACTTCTAGGATTTGTGTAAGTCTCTGATTCCTGATGGCAAATCCTTCCCTGCTCAAAATAACTAGAGTGGTCCCCACTTTTGTGGACAAACTGATACACATATATTATCTAATTTTATTGAGAATAAAGGTCTAGGAATTGAATTTGGTTTGCGAATGTTGGTGGCTAATAGGTGATATGGAAATAATAAAATCCAGCTCAGGTAGCAAAGGTATTTGAGAGATGTTAGAATAATGAAGCAAATATATATTACATTGGATGTCAAGAAGAAAATCATTTAAAGAGGAGGGGGATCCTTGTTGATGAAAGTTCTCTCCCTTATCAAATCTGGTGGACGTAAAAGAGGGCAGTTTTAAAAACCAAGGAATTGGAGCCCTCTGTGAAGTCCTGGCAGAAAAATGAAGCAGGAAAACTCATTGTCATGCATATAGTGACTGTGTTATCTGATTTTTTTTTTTTTTTTTGGACAGGCAGAGTTAGACAGTAAGAGAGAGAGACAGAGAGACAGGTCTTCCTTCCGTTGGTTCACCCCCCAAAATGGCCAAAGCCAGGAGCCAGGTGCTTGCTCCTGGTCTCCCATGTGGGTGCAGGGCCCAAGCACTTGGACCATCCTCCACTGCCCTCCCGGGCCACAGCAGAGAGCTGGACTGGAAGAGGAGCAACCAGGGCAGAATCCAGTGCCCCAACCGGGACCAGAACCCGGTGTGCCGGTGCCGCAGGTGGAGGATTAGCCTAGTGAGCCGCGGCGCCGGCCTATGTTATCTGATTTCTAAGGGCTGCTTATGTAATGATGTTGGGAATTGTATGCTCTGTGGTGCTGTGAAGTGAAAAGTAAAAGTCACTGCAAAAAATAAGAATTCTGGGTCAAATAACAATTCATAAATCTATCATATAATGCTTCCTTGACAGATCAGGAGGGTAGCATTTTAAAATGTAGAGCATTTGCTAAGCTCTTCAGATCTGCTGGAGAAAAGGATGAAAGCTTCCTTTCTCCTGTTTGTGGAGTAAAATAGTGCCCTAGAAATACAAGGCCAAATGTCTGAGTCATATGAAGAATGAGTAGTTACGATAATGTTTCCAAGGTAGCCGATTGCTTGACATTCACTATGTAAAGCTTATTTGCATTATTCATATAGAGATTTGGGGCAACCTTTCTTAGTTATTGATCCCAATTCATGATTTGTGATTTTGGCAAAATATTGAGAGTAAATTTATAGAATGTACCCCAATAAAAAGGTTTGTATATTAGTCAGGGTTCTTAAAACTAATAGAATTGATAGACAGACAGATGGACAGACACATGAGTTCTAAGGAATTGGCTCTTGTGTCCATGGAAGCTGGCAAATTAAAAAATTTGCAATCAGCCAGCTAGAGACCCAAGAGACCTGATGATAGATAGATCTAGTCTGAAGGCTAGCAGGCTCAAAACCCCTGCTGATGTTTCAGTTCAAATGTGGAGGCAGGGAAAAAAGGATGTTCCAATTTGAAGGCAAGAGAATTTCCATCTTTCTCAGCTTTTCTGTTCTATTCAGACCTTCAACTGATTGGATGAGGCCACTAACATTAGGGAGGGCAATCTGCTTTACTTAGTCTACTGCTTCAATGTTAATGTCATCCAGAAACACCCTCACGAACACCCCCAGAATAATGTCTGGCCTAATGTCTGTGCACCCCGTGTGCTGTCAAGTTGACAGAAAATCAAACCTCACAGTATGTACATGTTGTGAAATAGTACACGTGCTTTCCAAGTAAGAACACCAAGAGAGATGCTTACATTGACTTGACAAGCACTTCTAAACCCAAACCCAGGAAGAGTTCCTGTTTCAGTTGTCAGAGATACCAAGACATTGGCCCTATTTCAAGGATTCCCTAGCCCACTAAGAGAAACAGATAAGATTTGCAAAACTGTGCCTTGCACTGCTACAGAGTTATGCAGAGGACACTAAGGAAGAACAGACAAGTGCCTGGAGGGAGTTGGAGATGGCCTCTTGGAAGAGATCACATCTGATCTGTGTCTTAAAGGGCAAGCAACATTTTGCTAAAAGAGAAGATGAAAAGAGGATGTCAAATGACAGAGAATACACATTCTAGAAATTACAAGTACTTATCATGAGGACTGAATGAAATAATGCATTTAAGCACCAGTGAAATAATGGCTGTTAAGCACTAATATCTGGCACTCAGTAGGTGTGAGCCCAGATCAGCCTTTCTCTCATCCTACTATTGCTGTATATTATTTGAGGAAATCTTGAGGTTTTCGGGGCCAGCACTGTGGCGTAACAGGTAAGGTAAGCTGGCATCCCATGTGGGTGCCAGTTCGAGTCCCAGCTCCTCCACTTCTGGTCCAGCTCTCTGGGAAAACAGTAGAAGATGGCCCAGGTTCTTGGGCCCTTGTGCCTGTGTGGGAGACCTGGAGGAAGCTCCTTTCTGCTGCCTTTGGATCGGCACAGCTCTATCAGTTGCAGCCAACTGGGGAGTGAGCCAGTGGATGGAAGACCTCTTTCTCTCTCTCTGTGTAACTCTGACTTTCAAATAAATAAATAAATCTTTTAAAAAAAGAAATCTTGAGGTTTTCAAAGGTGAGGCAATGTTTGGGTAACTGAGAAGTTCTTCCATACAATTCACTACTATTAAAGAAATCATTTCTACTTTGCAGAAAGTACCTTAACAGATGTTTCTGAGTGAATTTAGTCATCATATTAAGCATTGCTTCACAATGTGGGATGCTTTTCAAAAGCCTCTTTTGGGTGAACAGATTGTGTTGCTGCTGAGGGAATTCACAGGAATGAGGCCGTCACTGTAATTCAAACAATTTCTCCTCATTTAAGACCACCAACTGTTTATATTAGTACTGACATGATCCATTTATGAAGCATCTTAGCACAGTTGTTTGAAAATTTTGGCTGTCAAATGGTCATCAGAACAGAGTTGACTCTAATTGCAAGTATGATACTTCTGATCTCTTTATCAAAACCTTTACAGAATAGCCACCATGTTCAGGTTCAGTTGGAAGGCTTGCGTGTGACACTACAACATGAGAAAAGTAGAACCTACCATTTTTGCTCACTAGGCAGCATTATTAGAATGCTGGCACTAAAAATGAAGGAATAAGTAAGACCCCCTCCCCCAACAGTTCTCAAAAACACATGGACAAATGATTGCAGCAAAAAATGATCATTTGGACAATATATACAGGAATGATGATACACAGAGAAAGAGCCTGTGAACTAGGTCTTCTTTTTTGAACTAGGTCTTTAATTAGAAACTTGCCCCCCCCCCCAGATAGAGAGAGAGAGAGAGAGAAGAAACTTTACATATTGGCGACAGCACTGTCCCAGTAGAAGGTAGTATGCAACAGTATATTCCATTGAGAAAAAAGAAATTGGCTTGGCATGATTGTCACATGTTGAAAAAGGATAGGAGATTATGTTAGGATAGTAGTAGCCAAGGACCAAGTTATACCTATGAAGTGTGTGTGCGCGCGCACACACACACAAGTGATATTGCCCTTTGACTGCAAACTGAATTAATATCTTAGCTTTGACTTTTATAGACCAGACTATCACCATGGGTACTATGTCTGCTTCATCAACATTGCACTTTCTCAAATGCATCATTAAAAGAAAGTAATGGATTTCTTTTTGTAGCTCAGTAAGATGACAAAGCTGTTCATATCTTCTTGATATTCCATCAGATGCCTAATTTAACTTTCACTTTTGCTTCTCATCTCTTTTGCCCAGAAACTCACTGCATGTTGAATGAAGCTCAACTCAGCCTCTTTTGTATGCCACTGAATCTGAGAATTTGGTACAGTGATCATTTGAGTGGCCATGGCATGCCTGGCCTGACTTTTTTGAGAACAATCTTTGTCCATCTTCCTCCCATGACACATCTTTGCAAAGTGTCATGATCTTATTTGTGTTATAGAAACATAATTTCAGCAGTGGGATGATCAGTGAATGAAAGGAAGTTAACAAAACTAGACACAGAGAAACTACTTGGGAGATGATGACATTAATTCTAGTGGAAAAAGTGATGAGGTCGTGAATCAAGACAGTGATGCTGAGGTGGAAAGGAAAGAGTGGGTATGAAAGAAGAAATGTTAAAAAGACAGAATAAAACTGCCAGTGGAAACTAGAGATTGAGTGAGAAGGAAATGAAGAAGGCTAGGATGATACCTAAAGTTTCTGACTCAAGTTCCTGTCTAGATGACATTTCTATAAATCAGAACAGGCCAATGGGAGAAAGATGTTCATTTGCAGTGGTGGGTGGTGAAGGATAATTAGTAGTGTTTTGGACAAACATAGAAAGTTTCTTTGACATTAGCAGTCAGTTGGAGATCTGGCACTGGACCTCGAGAAGGGCTGGCAGTGGGGAAGGCATTAGGCCTAGTGCTTAAGACACTGAGTTGGGAGGAGGGGCACCAAGATGGCAGAATAGGGAGGGAGCTTACTGCTCTAGTCCAGGACAAGATTAAAAAAACGTGGAGAGAGTGCAATCTCAGGGAAGAGTTAGGGAGAAAACAGCAGAGCAAACTCCATGCAAATTACGGGACACTGTGGATATATGTGGAGAGTGTGGATGCACACAACTCAGGACCCTAGCAGCTGAGAGCCTCAGCATCAGCTTATGAGAGTGAGGTGAGACCAGGTTGCAGCAGCCCTAGCCATTGGCAATAAAGCTGCAGGAAGAGCCTGGTGAATCTGGTTTGGAGCCTTGTAGGGGACAGCATACTTTCCAACTGACAGGAAAAAGGAGAGGCAAGTTTCTCTCTCCCCAACCACCCAGCATCAGCATCCTGTAACTAGCCATGAGGGGGTGGGTGCCATTTTGGACATACATAACAGCTGTGCCAGCTCATGTCCGTGTGCCCAGCAACCAGTTGAGAGTAGAAACCTGAGTCTAGCTGGGAGAACTGACAGGTGGCTGGGTGCTTCTGACTATGGGAGGCTTGTGTGCTGGGACTATGAAAACACTATGGCTGCATGTGAGGGTGCAGCGTGTGGCTGGGACTTTGGGCAGTCACAGTGTGTGGCTATATATGCTAGGGGTTTCTTGATTCCCTGGTGAAGATCATTGCTGCAGGATCCATGCTCACACTGAGGACTGCATGGATCCTTTGTGAGGCAGCACAAATGAATACTGTACTTACTGGGGTTAATGACCAGGCATTGGTCTCCTTGGAGGAGAAGAGGTGAGTGTGAGAACATTTCAATAGAGCTGAACAAACCTCCTCTCTGATTAAAAAAAAAGATTTACCAAGCCTAACTTGGGAGTCACCTTGGATACTGCCCTCACCCTGGAGCATAGAACAGAGCTCCCTGGCCACACCTAGTACATGCCTCTAGGTGTTCACTGAAAGAGCAGACACCTCACTAATCCACAGAGGCATAATCCAAAGATAAAAGCTATCACCAGAGGAAAAAAACCAAGTATCTCCAGAAATGCCTAATAATGAACACAGCATTTCAAAAAACAAGAATAAGGAAGACAACATGACACCCCCAAAGGAACACAACACTTCAATACTAGAATGTGAAAGTGATGAGACTGAAGAAGTGCTGGAAATGGAATTAAAAAAATTGATCATAGGATTACTTAGAAGTAATCAGAAGCAAATTCATGAGCTAAAGAAATCCATACATGACCTGAATGAAAAATTTTCCCATCAAATTGAGATTTTAAAGAGAAACCAAAATTTAATATTAGAAATGAAGAATTCAATAGATCAAATAAAATGTGTTGGGGAAAGCCCTAACAACAGACTCGGTGAGGCAGAAGAAAGAATATCCAAGTTAGAAGACAAATCTCTGGAAACTTTATAGTCACACCAAAAAAAAAAAAGAAATTATAAAACTAGAAAACAGTGTTGGAGATTTGTGGGATATTACCAAACAACCCAACATACAGGACTTAGGAGTTCCTGAAGATGTGGAAAGAGAAAATGGCTTAGAAGGCCTTTTTAGTGAAATAATTACAGAAAACTTCCCTAATTTGAAGAAAGGGATGTCCAAATACAGAAAGCACATAGAACTCCTAATAGACATGACCAGAAAAGATCTTCACCATGACACATTGTAGTCAAACTTCCCACAATAAAACATAAAGAAAAGATTCCAAAATGTGCATGAGAGAAATGCCAGATTACTTTCAGAGATCTCCAATTAGACTCACAGCTGACTTCTCATCAGAAACCCTACAGGCTAGGAGAGAATAGTGAGATATATTCCAAGTCTTCTTTTTTAAATCCTCTCCTCTTTTTTTCTTAGTCAAACTTGTTTATTTTATTTTTAAAAATTTATTTATTTGAAAGGCAGAGTTACAGAGAGGCAGAGGGAGAGAGGGGGAGAGGGAGAGGGAGAGGATGAGAGGCCTTCCATCTGCTGATTCTCTCTCCAAATGGTTGCAATGATTAGAGCTAGTCCAATCCAAAGCCAGGAGCCAGGAGCTTCTTCTGGGTATCCCACTTGGGTGCAGGGGCCCAAGGACTTGGGCCATCTTCTACTGTTTTCTCAGGCCGTAGCTGAGAGCTGGATCAGAAGTGGAGCAGTGGGGACTAGAACTGGCACCCATATGGGATGCCAGCACTGCAAGTGGTAGCTTTACTTGCTGTGCCACAGAACCACCCCTATTCCAAGTTTTAAGAGAAAAAATGCCAACCTAGAATATTGTACCCTGAAAAGCTCTCGTTTATGAATGAAGGTGAAATAAAGACCTTCAATAACAAACAGAAATTGAAAGAACTTGTCCAGCCTTACAAAAGATGCTTAAGGATGTGCTGCACACAGAAACACAGAAACATGGTCATCACCACAAAAGAAGGTGAAGGCAGAAAATCTCCCAGTAAAAGTACAAAGGAAATGCAAAGTAAAAAATAGGAATATTTATGAAAAAAATTGCAGAGCCAAGTCATTACTTATCAATAGTCACCTTGAATGTAAATGGCCTCAGCTCTCCAGTTAAAAGACATAGACTGGCTGAATGGATTAAAAAACAAAACTCATCTATTTGCTACCTATAAGAAATACATCTCACCAACAAAGATTCATGCAGACTGAAAGTGAAAGGATGGAAAAAGATATTCCATGCAAACAGAAACCAAAAAAGAGCTGGTGTGGCCATCCTAATATCAGACAAAATAGACTTTAACACAAAAACTGTTAAAAGGGACAAAGAAGGGCACTATGCAATGATTAAGGGATCAGTTCACCAGTAATATGTTACTATAATAAATGCATACACACCTAATTACAGGGAATTAAAAGAAACGTTAATGCATCTAAAGAGAAATAGAGACTCAAATACAATAGAAATGGGGGACTTCAATACCCCATTTTCCACAATGGCAGATCAAGCTGACCAAAAATCAGCAAGGAGACAACAGTTAATCAACACTATAGACCAAATGGACCTAATGGATATCCACAGAACTCTTCATCCTAGAGATGCAGAATACACATTCTTCTCACCAGTGCATGGAACTTTCTCTAGGCTAGACCACATGCTAGACCATAAAGCAAGTCTCAGCAAATTCAAAAAAACTGAAATCATACCATGTATCTTCCCTGACCACAATGGAATGAGGCTGGAAATCAACAACTTAAGAACATATGCACACACGTGGAGACTGAACAACATGCTCCTGAACAAATAGTGATTCACTGAAGAAATCAAAAGAGAAATGAAAAAAGTTAAGGAACAGTTTTCCATACTATTTGTTGAACTCTTAGTATAGAGTTAATCTTCTGTGTATAAAGTTAATTGAAAATAGATCTTAGTAAAAAATAAGAATAGGAATAGGAGAGGGAAGAGGAAGAATGGTGGGAGTGGGGTTGGGAGAGTGGGTAGGGTGGGAAGAATCACTATCACTACATTCCTAAAGTTGTATTTTTGAAATGCATGAAGTTTGTATATGTTAAATAAAAGGTTTATTGATGGAAAAAAAGACACGGAGTTGGGATCCTTTATCCCATACCAGAGTTCCTGGGTTTGAGTCTGGCCTCTGCTCCTGATTACAACTTCCTGCTAATACACACTCTGGGAGGCAATAAGTGGTGGCCCAAGTAGTTAGGTCCCTGCTGCCCACATAGGTCACCTGGATTGGTTTACTGGCTCCTGGCTTTAGCCTGGCTCAGGCTGTGCCTGTTGTGAGTATCTGGAGAGTGAACCATCTAATGGGAGTCCTTTCTGTCTCTTTTCCTCCCAAGTTATTAATTAATTAAAATAAAATGAAGTCTGGCAGTAACTGATGAAAGTCATGGTTCAATAGAGACTTCTGTGAGAGTGAGAGAGACAGAGAGAGAGAGAAGGGTGAGCCTTGATTTGCAAGGAACTTTCCATCTGAGCCACAGCTGATGGACAAGCAGGTCTGAAGCAGCTATGAGAGGCATCTTTCTTAAGGGATCAGGGTGCTAATGGGAGAAGGGTTCTTTTATTTATTTTTTTGGACAGGCGGAGTTAGACAGTGAGAGAGAGACAGAGAGAAAGGTCTTCTGTTGGTTCACTCCCCTAATGGCTGCTATGGCTGGCGCTGTGCTGATCCAGAGCTAGCAGCCGGGTGCTTCCTCCTGTCTCCCATACAGGTGCAGGGCCCAAGCACTTGGGCCATCCTCCGCTGCCCTCCCGGGTCACAGCAGAGAGCTGACTGGAAGAGGAGCAACCGGGTTAGAACCCGGGATAGGCCGGCGCCACGGCTCAATAGGCTAATCCTCTGCCTGTGGCGCCGGCACACCGGGTTCTAGTCCCGGTCCGGGCACCGGATTCTGCCCTGGTTGCCCCTCTTCCAGGCCAGCTCTCTGCTATGGCCCGGGAGTGCAGTGGAGGATGGCCCAGGTCCTTGGGCCCTGCACCCGCATGGGAGACCAGGAGAAGCACCTAGCACCTGGCTCCTGGCTTCAGATCAGCGTGATGCGCTGGCCGCAGCACACCAGCCGCGGTGGCCATTGGAGGGTGAACCAACGGCAAAGGAAGACCTTTCTCTCTGTCTCTCTCTCACTGTCCACTCTGCATGAAAAAAAAAAAAAGAAAAAAAAACCCGGATGCTGGTACCACAGGCGGAGGATTAGCCAAGTAGTGAGCCACGGCACCGGCCAGGAGAAGGGTTCTATTGTCTAAACACTTCAACCTCCCATATTTCTGTATTTTTAAATATTTATTTTATTTATTTATTACTTTAAGGGCAGAGGAACAGGGAGGGAGATCTTTCATTTACTATTTCAACCCCCAAAAAGCCACAACAGCCAGTTCTGGGACAGGTCAAAGCCAGGAACCAGGAACTCCTCCCTGGTCTCCCACATGGGTTTCAAGAGTCCAAGTTCTTGGTCCAGCTTCCACTTTCTTCTCAGGCACAGTAGTAGGCAGCTGGATCGAAATGGAGCAGCCAGGACTTGAAACAGCTCTCTGATACAAGATATCAGCATGGTATGTGGTGTATTAGCCTGCTGTGGTGCAATGCTGTACCCCCTCATCCTCCTATCTTCAAGGATAGTCATTCTGCTGCCTCTTTGGTGGGATGGAGGTCCTACTTAGCACAGCAGTTACTTTGATAATGTACCCCAATGCTGTTTTTTTCTCCTTCCCTGTTCTGTTCTTCCCACTCACTTATTCATGCCTTTTGTTATCACCTCTCAAATTAGCTGCATCAGGCTCTTTTGAGTGAGGGAATCTAGGTGAAATATTCCTGCTTGGCTCCTGATAGCACTGGTGTACACTTGAACGTCATCCTATCCAAGCCAGACATCTTGGTCTCATCTCCAGGCAACGTGGTTCATTGGCTAGATAGAAGGGGATGGTAAGTTCAAAGGCACCCAAGCCTCAGTCCACTGCCCAGTAAATGAGAACATACTTTTCCAGAAGAGAAGAGGCTAGGTGGGCAGTGCTAGATCCTGGCTTCAGAGCCCTTCCCTCTTGCAAACCCTGGCCCTGCGATGGTACTCCATGGGAAACAGCAGCTAGGTCCCAGTGCTGCAACTTCTAGGAAGTCCCAACCCAGGTGCTGCATCTGCTCTTTCAGAGAAAGTCTTTTTAGATTAAGATTGTTAATTCTTGATTAGTGTCAACTAGTTCTTGTAGTTCTTAGAGTTAAAAGGAGTTTATTTCCACAAGTATCCTGTATTCTGTAATATTTGTATTTTAAGATCATTCCAAAAGAAGTAAAGTGAGGAAAGTTGATCATGGTGGAAACTCTTATTTGTTTTTGGCACTCTTTAGGTTAGGTCTGAGTTAAATATAACAAGTAGTCATTCATTCTTTTTTTTTTTTTAATTAAGATCTGGGGCTGGCGTTGTGACATAGTGGATAAAGCTACCTTCTGACATGCCAGCATCCCATATGGGTGCTGGTTCAAATCCTGGCTGCTCCACTTCCAATCCAGCTACCTGCTAATGGCCTGGAAAAGCAACAGAAGATGTCTGGGCCCCTGCTACCCATGTAGGAGACCTGGAAGAAGCTCTGGCTCCTAACTTTGGTCTGGCCCAGTGCTGACCATTGTGGCCATCTAGAGTGAACCAGCAGATGGAAGACATCTCTCTCTCTCTCTCTCTCTCTCTTAATTTCTCACTGTAACTCTGATTTTAAAATAAATAAATAAATAAATAAATAAATCTTTAAAAAAAGAGAGACAGAATCAGCCCTTAAGGCATGCGGATCCGGCTGAAAAGCCCATGAGAGTATTTCAGGCACGGAAAGCCAAGACACTCTGGGGGAAAAAAAAACCTAAATGAAAGATCTCCACGAGTGAGATCCCAGTGGAAAGAATGGGTCATCAAAGAAGGAGGTACCTTTCTCTGAAGGGACGAGAGAACTTCCACTTTGACCATGGCCTTGTCTAAAAATTATCAGAGTCAGTGA